ATATAACAAGAGAAGAGCCATCTTCTTTTTCTTTTTCTTCCCATACCCCTTGCTCTCTAAGCCAAAAAGCAGCCATTGTCGCCCAGACTGCCGCGGTACAGGTGAAAAACTATTGCTGTTACTGCTTCTGTTTTTTCGCCTGCCTTCTGCGGCGAGTACCGATGACCTCATCGCCACCCGGCGATTCATTCGGGTGGAAGTCCGTCAGCACAATCTTCCCACGCGTGTGCCCCAACGCAATGAAATCGAAGGCCGCACCCGCACGCTCCAGCGGCACCGTCTCCAGCTGCAGCCGGAACGCGCCGCTCTGGTACAGGCCAAGCGTGTTCTCCACCACACGCCGCAGATTGCCGCGCGTCAGCGGGTGATCGTGCAGACCACCGAGAGAGACGTAACTCACCGAGATCTGCCGGCGGAACAGCGCCTCGCTCGAAGCGGGCATATGTCCAGGCACAACGCAGATCGCCCCACCAAACCGCAGCGCGTCGGCGTGCTGCAGCGCGGTGGCGGCGTCGGCGACTTCCAGTACGTAGTCGACGCCGAAGCCCTGTGTGTATGCAAGGCACGCGTCGACCACGTCTACGGCGGTGTAATCGAAGACATAATCAGCGCCCAGCTCCTGCACGTAGCTTGCATTCACCGTCGAGCACGACGCCAGCACGCACAGCCCGGCGCACTTCGCCAGCTGCACTGCAGCCGAGCCCACGCCACCGGAGGCGCCGTTAATAAAGATGCTGCGGCCGGCCTCCACGCACAACTTGTCGAAGAGCGCAACGTACGCCGTCCCCGTCGCACACGGCAGCGCCGCGGCCTCGACGAAGTCGATCACATCACTCGGCGTGGGCGGCGGCAGCTTGCCCACCGCGTCCGCCGGCACTACCGCATACTGGCAGAACGAGCCGCCATCTTCCTTCACCATGTCGGCGAGAAACGCAACGCGGTCGCCCACCTGCAGGCCGTAATACTGCTGCTGCTGCACATCGTCGCTGCTCCAGCCAACGCTCTCCACAACACCGGCGCCATCAACGCCCATCACATATGGAAAGGGGAACTCCGGCGGTGGGCGACGCGTCGACGTCGCACCACCGCTGCTACTGCTGCCACGCCTGAATAAACCACCACCGGTGCGGCCGAGCGTCGCCCGCTTCACGTCAAGAGGATTGACGGCTGCGGCGTACACCTTCACGCGCACCTGCCCGGGGCCCGGCACTGGCACCACCACCTCGCTGGAGTACGTCGCCGCCGCTGCCGACAAGGACCACGACGAGACGGGCCTCTGCAGGACCCAACCTTTGCATCGCAGCGCGCGTCCAGCTGCAGGGTCTGCTGCTGGTGCTGCAGGGACACTATGGCTGTTGGGCTCGCCGGCATGCGCCTGCAGGACTTCCCCGCTCATGTCTCACGACGACTCTTGCGTTGCCTGATGTGATGCGATGCGATGTGTATCCTGGCGACCGACGTGGTTGCTGTTTTTCCTTTTTTTTTCTCTTTGGGTTTGGTCTCCTCGCTTTTCTCCACTGGTACTACTGCTAATCCAAACAAACGGACAGGGGAACGAGAGCCGTAAAGACACCCATGAAGGTGGCAGAGCGGAACAGCACAACTGGTGAGCGAGCACCGGAAGAGACGCAGTCAAACTGTGGAAGTGCAAAAGAAAAATTTCTTTCGTCTATGAAGCAATGCTCATTTTATGAAATGCCTGTGCGCAAGTACTCCCCCCAGAAGATCCCTCACGCCTCGCTCAGCTCTCCCCACCCCTCTCAAGCAAAGGCTTGTGAGTGTGTGAACAGGGGTACTATAAGCACACACAGACACACACACAGAGAGGGAGAGGGTGAGGATAGCGCGTTAATTGCATGTTTTCGTCCCACGACCACACCAGTAAGTCTCAAGATGAACCGTCATTGATTCCTCCACTGCTCGCTGCACGTGGCCGCTTTTGGGCGAGCGCCACTAGCGTAATGTCCTCATCGTCCTCCTCTGCATCCTCCTCATCGTTGTCGCGGTTTCTTTCCCCTTCGCCGTTGCCGATGTTAGGGCCTGCGCTGTTGTTGTTGTTATTGTTGATGCTGTCGCCGCCGCCGCCGCCACCGTCACCCTCCCTTGGCCGCAGCTGCTTTCTGAAGAGGCGCTCGTCCGTCACCGACCATGGCTCCTCGCGGCGCACCAGGGTATTGTGTTTGCGCTCGTAGTAGCGCCGAATCGTGCGCAATATCTCCGCCCGCGCGACACCCGCGCACACCTGCTGCTGCTGCAACGCCTCCACAATCGCCTTCGGGGATATCTTCCTATTCGCCGCGATGATCGCGTGCACGGCGTCCAGCTCCTCCGGGAACATCTCCCGTCGGTTACGGAGAGCTGCCGCCAAAAGTCGCTGCTGCTGTTGTTGCTGCTCATCGTCGTAATCGTGTTGCTGCGCCCCAGTCGGCCCAACGTCCACGCAACCACCGCTGCTGTTGTTGTTGTTGACCAGAGACGCACCTGCTGCTCGCATCTCCTGCTCCAGCAGCGCCGTAAACGCGGCGCCATCGAGGGTCGACGAGATCCGCTCCATCTTGTCGTACTCGCGCAGCGGGTGCTCGAGCATCGCGACGCCAACGAACGGCCCACTGAAGGCCGGCACCAACTTGTCCTTGTGCCGCAGTCGATTCACACGCCGCTGCCTCGCCTCAAACATCCGCCGCTGCAGCTCCGCGTCGGAGTCCTCCTCGTCCTCATCGTTGTCGTTGATAAAGTCGTCGTCACTGGCGCTGGGGGACGTGCCGCTGCCGTCCTCCTCGTCGTCCGTGTCGCTGCTCGACGCGCCAACGTCCTCGTCGCCCTCCACGACGTCCCAGTCGTCTCCCGAGTCGTACTCGTAGTCGAGGTTCGACAGCCGCGGGATTTCGCAGCCAACGCCAATGCGGGCGAGGCGCAGCAGCTCCTCCGTGTTCATGCCGTCCTGGCTGCTGTAGGTGCCGAAGTACGGCGGGCGCGACTGGCACGGGTCGTAGCCTATCGCGTAGAAACCACAGAAGACCATCTCGTTGCAGAACCCAACGCGCGGCGCCGGCAGACTCACATGAAACCCGCACGGGCATTGCAGCAGCGGCGGGGCCTCCACTGCGTTATTATTATGGCCGCCACTGCCTCTGCTTTTCTTGTTGGCCGAGGTGGCATCAATCATGTCTGTGAAGGAGAGATAGCGCAGCGGCGGCCCCTCGCGCAGCTGCACGTCCCGCTCCTCCTCCGCTTCGCCACAGAGCATCACCGGCGAGTGCATCAACGATGAGGAGTTCTCATCCACGGCGATGGTGTGGCGCACGGCTAACACCTCGTCCTCGTCCTCCCTCACCTCCTGCTGCTGCTGCTGCTGCTGCTCTTGTTGTGCTTCACCGCTGCACCAGAACCGCAGCGCGGCGGGCACCAACCGCTTGTCCTGCACGAATGGTGTGAAGAGTTTGTTCTTCTCGCCGGCGGCAAGCACCGGCTTCTTCGTGGCGCTCACGAATCCAAAACTAGCGAGACCACGCACCGCAACGGCTGGCGACGCCGACGCCGCCTTGGGGGACGCCTTGCCCTTGCGAACAGGTGTGCGATTACCATCAGCAGATGGTGCTTCCTGTTGTTGTTCTTGTTGTTGCTGCTGCTGCTGCTGCTGCTGGTGCTCGGGCAAAGCGTTTCCCTCAGCCGTCGCAGCAGCCTCCCGCGGCTTTTTTCGCGCAGCAGACCTCGGGACTTTCCTTCCCGTCGACATCAGCTTCTTCTGCGCGATAACTGCCAGTGGGAGATCGTCATCATCACCACCATCATCCTCACCATCATCACCCTCGACATTATTCGCACTGTTCTCGTCACTACTGACGCCATTCGCCGCCATGGCCGCATGCCGCAGCGCAAGGGAAATGGCGGAGCTCACCGCATCGTGTCCCCCCGCCGTGGCGGAATTAAGAATTGAGTCCTTCACACCGTCGGCTTCACCAGACCCTGAAGTAGGACCGTTGTTGTTGTAGTTGCTGCTTTCGTCGGCGTCGCCGCCACTACTGCGCAGCACCGACAGCGGCTGCTGCTGGCTCGCCGCAGAGTAGCGCTGCAGCAGCTGCACGGCATGCTCAATCTGCCCCGGCGCCATGCCGCGCAGGATGTGGGCAAGGTCATCCATCTCCTGTTCAGTCCGCCGCTCGCACCGCTTCGCTACCTGTTCCAACCTTCACACACACACACACACACACTCTCTCTCTCTCTCTCTCT